GGCACGACATCTAAAGATGACGAAACAAATTATAACAATATTCATATATTATATTAAAAGGAAATTGGTTGAGCAAGTGAGACAAAGAGCAGCAACATCATTATTTATTATTATTTAAGTTTAAAAGGCGATCATATAAATCAAATAAGAAAATTGGATGGGCAGTTAAAATATTTAGACTATAATTGAACAAGCTTAAGCAGTGATTAATTATGTTGGGTCGAAAACTTAGTGACTACATTTAGAAGCACACAGTTTGTTTTAGATAATGTTCAAAATAATTAATTAGTCTAAGCACATCCGCACACAAATAAATAAAGAGGAAGCAAAAAACGGTTAGCACATATATTCACCCCCCCCCCCTAACCCCCCTAAGGTGATTTCCCAAATCTATTACAAAATGACAAAATAGGTAACGATATAATACAATAAAAATAAACTATTAAACAAAGATAGCTTCGTCTGAAATCCTATTCTTAGGAGACTCTTCAATGTCTTGAACTTTAAGTTCAAACCTTCTAAAGCCAAAATTATGAAGAAAAGATCACAACTACATAGATAGAAACATAATATTATTCACAACCAAACACGAGTATCAACATGTAAGATCACACATCAAGAGAAAGGATAAGAATACTAATTTGGATGATTCCTATATCACCATAAACTCATATAAATATGAATGCAAGACTAATATAAATGCTAAATAAGAACACAAACCAGTTAAGCAGAAAAGATTAATGGAGACAACATAATCCAACTTTTGATCAGAACACAATAAAAATAACAAAGAAAACACTTGAATGTTTATCGAAATCTTAATTATTTTAAGACTAGAGAGCAATATATTATTAGTATTCAAGTATAAGCAATGAGAGAATGTGATAGCGAATGAATGGGAGAAAGTGAAGGGTCTTGTTTATATAGTCAAGAGACCACCGTCATAAAAGAAATAGAATAACTAAGCAAAATAATGGAAATTCTATTTCCTTAACAATGAATATTAAACAAGTCACAATTACCAAAATAAAGAAGTAAGAATCGGTAGGAAGATATTTTTTTCAACAAATCAAATAAAAAAATTTCATCAATCACCCGAGAATCCACCCAACTATTATTAAGGGATGTGATTAATTTACAGCACTAACTTCCTTAAATAAATAGAGTAAAAATCAACACAAAATTATTTGTTTTACCAAATATAAGCAGATAAAGAAAATACTCAAACTTCCAAATAAGGTAAGCATGTTATGCCCCAATTTTACTATCTTTAATAAAATCACTCTTTTCAAATGTTCTAAGTATAAATTTTTATTTTTTTTAAAAAATACTTAGAAAAGAGTTGCCACTTAATTTTTTTTAAAGAAATTAAAAAAACTTAATTTAAAAAAATTCTAACAAATAAACCTTTAAATTTTAGAGAAAATGGGTAAGAGGTTCTTATTTCTATTATGACCAGGTATCAACACTTAAAGTAGCCGCTAACGTGCGGTTATCTAACGACTTAGGTTAAATATATTTTGACTAACTTTTAGAAAATGGTTTAAATAATTAAACAGAGAATAATTTTTAATTTCTAAGGAGCATATTAATTGAAATATTTGAATTAAATTGTAGAATTTTTTACGAAATTAGGTTGATTAAAATTTATTTAATAATTTTTAAAATAATAATTTGAACCAATTTTAGTTAACTAAAGTATTAAAACAATTTAATTAATTGTAGAATAAAAAAAATTGACCAAAGATTTTCAAATACAGTATGCGACTTGATAAAAGATTTTACTAACATAAAGAATATAATTCATCTTTTGAGGGAATATTAATTCTAAAGTTAGAGCTAATAAACAAAATAATAAATAATCACAATTAAGAGCAAGGGGAAGAAGTTGAATTTGGGCCTCCTTTTTAGGCCAATTTTGCTGGAATTTTTGGATTTTAACCAAAAAATTTTTTGTACAGACTTGTTGTATATCAGTGTATATTTAATGTATATAGCCTATTTTTCAGCTTTCAGAGAACTATGTCACTTTCCAATTTCTTCGAACATTGAGGAGGCTGGCTCAAAGGAGATGTATTGAACTAAGGAGCCCGATAGGTTACAATGAGAGACTTGGGAGTCCATGAATGAACTCATTATGTCATGTATACAAAGGAAAAGAGTACAAGACAACGAGCTTGACCGTGAAGCCTTTACACCACTGCTACATTAACTTGAGCTAGAAGAGAGAGAAAAAAGTTCCGATTTTTCGTCCTCTCGATTTAAAAAAATAAACTTCTATCTATTAGAATGTAAAAATCTCTTGTCTCAAACTTCTCCCCTCTCCACTCTTAAGACTTGTACTTTTTTTTCAACTCAATTTTTTCTTATTCAACTTCATTTTTTCCCTCTGTTTTTTTTTGTCTCCAGTCCCCCCTCTAAATGACATCATACCATATATTTATAGCAAAAACAAATACTTGAATTCAAATAGTCATTTTAGCGGGAGATGAGAGATTGATTGAAAAGAATGAAGGAGAAAATGAGTGAGAGAAAAACATACCCTTAAAAATCTGAATTCGATGTGATATCTTCCGATTCAGATTAGATTATGGTGATATTTATCTAACCTTAAGTCAACAATTGGTTTGTAATCTTTGAAAATATGAGGGAGATTGTAAAGACTTGAATTCAAATAGTCGTTTTAGCGGGAGATAAGAGTTGATTGGAAAGAATGGAGGAGAAAATGAGTGAGAGGAAAACATACCCCTAAAAATTCGAATTCGATGTGATATCTTTCGATTCGGATTAGATTGGTGAGATTTATCTAACCTTAAGTCAACAATTTGGGTCAGTGGTTTGTAATCTTTGAAATATGAGTGAGATTGTCAATGGTGGTGGATAGTGTAGTTGGATGAAGAAATTAGGATTATTTGTGTTAACTTTGTGTTTTGGAGGAGAAAAATTGAGAAAAAGCACGCGTGAAGGCTGGAAATTTGGCCACTTTTATTATTTTTCTAATCAAATTTAACTTTTATATAGCTAAATTGAGTCCGATTATTAATTTTGCTTAAAAAATAAGATGAATACTTATCAATTAATTGTTTGAGATTCTTAATTCAAACAATACAAAATAATTATCAAGACCTAAAGTTCATACTTAAAATACAAAATTATAAAATTCACTAATTTAAAGATAATAAATACGTATTTATAGTGAACGTTCATTTTTAGATATTTATTAAATATTTATATAAAAGATGAAAATTATATAAGACAATATGTATAATTATATAATTATTTCTGAAGAACTAACCGAAACTAATTAGAAAGAGATCTTACAATATATATATATATATATATTTCAAAGACGATTATTTCAAATTGTTTGAAATTGAAGAAGCTCAATAGTTAACTCTAATTGCATAGGGTCAAAATTGAGTGTCACAACTGCCCCCTTCTTTGGACGGGTCGATGAAAGAGAACTTGGACAAAGAGGATTGACGAATTCAGTTTTGATTGAACTCATTTCATCTTTAGGAAAGAGATTTTGGTACGGACTTTATGAATTATGACTGAACCCCAAAATCGAGTTTTCTACATCTCTCAAGCTAATGGGGATTCAGTCACTTGTAGTTCGATACGCTTGATAAGACACACAGTTATGAAAGAATTCAAAAATTATCCTGATATCGAATTATGAAGAAACTTAAAAGCTCAAGAATAATATTTGAGAGAGGAAGTTGGAATACAACCAAGTTTTCAATGTTGAATTCGCCTACATATCCTTAAACCTTAAGAATTAGGATGTTTGTTGTTTGACTCAATCGATTGAAAAGAAGATCTAGTATGCATGATAACCTTTGGGTTGGGAAGAGTGACAAATAAATCGAGTATGAAAAAGGGGTTTGCAACCTCTTAGCCATGAATATGGTGCACTTCACACCCATAATTAAGAACTTACACAGACATAATTTCCAAAGCTCTTGGTGCACTATCACTCAGATTGGAAAGTTTCTTCCGATAAGAGTGAAGTTTTCGTATGCGAAATTGAGACTGATAAACTCAAAGAAAACCCACATGCCTTTGATAGGGGTATGGTTTGGTTGTGGTGGAAATTGCTCCTCAGCTCGCGTCCTAAGAGTTTGATACTCCCCTTTGGACTTTGTCCCAGTACGATGTTGAGAAAAAAGTTCGACGCTGTGCTACATCCTATTTGATGTCGTCCACAACTGTGGTTGGATTTGAGAATTCATCCTCTTGGTTGATCTCGACAAAGATTGAGATAAAACTCATTAGTGTAAAAAATGTAATTCAAATGGAGAGATGGCGTACTTTACCATGTTAGCAATTAATTGCTCTCCTTGAATGTTTAACGTCAACTTCTTTAGTATGACGTAAGGCAAATAAAGTTTATGTATCATATAAGTGACATGATTCTTCACATTACTCTTTTTTTAACATCGAAGCAGTAAAATAAACTTAATGCAATATGTTGATGATTCTTTTGATGGTTTGAATATAATGTCTCTCTAATCATTTTGAAGATGTAATGCCCCTCTTGGAAGTTTGAATATGCAATGACTCTCTTTGCGGTTTGGATATGATGGCCTTCTCAGTGGTTTGTATATGCAATGGCCTTTCAGCGGGTTGAAATGATGGTCCTCTCGGCGTTCGTAGATGATGGCCATCTGGGTAATGGAATATGTAATGGCCTCTTGGCATTTGAGGATGTAATGGTCCTCTCGGCGTTTGTAGATGATGTCCTTCTTGGCAATGGAATATGTAATGGCCCTCTTGCCATTTGAAGACGTAATAATCCTCTTGATATTTGTAGATGATGACCTTCTTAGCGATGGAATATGCAATATCCGTCTTGGCATTTGAAGATGCAATGACCCTCTTAGAATTTTGAATATATAATGGCTCTCTCGACATTTGTAGATGATAACCCTCACGATAATGATATATTCTACTTTGAAAAAATAATATGGATGACCCTCTCGGCAATGATATTATCACCTTTGATATGATCTTACCACGTTCGAAAATACAATGTTGATGGCCCTCTTGGAAATGACATTACCACTTTTGATAATATAATGTTGATGACCCTTTTGAAATTGCACATCGTCGTGTTTGGTATCGATGTGACTTACAAATATCCTTCAATGTTGGCCTCTTCCAGCTTTAACGTGATAATGAATATTTTGGCAAGCTGCACTTCAAATTCTCTCCGATATTTGATATATCTTATGTGTGCCCTTCATATGTCTTTGACGCTAGAAAATGCAATATGACGTTATCACACTCATTTGTACATCTTGAAGTGTCATCCTCTTGATGATTTCACCTATTTTTCTTGACCACTTGTATATTCTTTGTGGCTACTATTTTTGTTGAGAAATATGAACAAGAAATTTTCATTTAAAACACTAAGTTAACTACCTTTTATCGCAGGAATATCAATGTCTTTTCCTGCATAAAGAAAATTTTAGTCTCGGATGCTTTTTCTCTTCAGACCTTTCCATATTTGTTGAATATGATGATCTCTTGATATCCTTGCAAACCTACATCCACATAAAATTTATTAGTTTTAAATGAACTAATATGTGTTGACTTCTTTGATTGCGGGCTCTTCCTTCTGCTATCCTTGGTTGATTGCTTTTAGCTCCGCGCTTCTTGGTAGACGTAAGATAGACCTATATTTTCTACAACATATTTGATATATGTCTAAAGTTTTAAGAAAAATAAATTTTTGAAAAGTAATTTAATGATGGTGACTGTCAAGTGTCATGTCACTTTAAAGCTTAAGTGAACACTTCGGTTCAAATTTCGTATATCCACAAAGTCCTTTTAAGTTGAAATATGAAGTTTGACTTCAAATTTCAGAGATATTGAGGTTCACGAGTTTCTAATCACGCTGAAGACTACTTGTGATTAACTCTGAACTTCTGACAGTACTTGATAGAATTTTTGAGATCTTCTCAAAAATTCTTCCCCAGTGAAATGTCTTGGAATTCCTCAAGTCTTTAGTAGGAACACTTGGAAATTTTTGGGATCTTCTCAAAAATTTTGCCCTAGTGAAATGTCTTGTCATTCCTCAAATCTTGGTAGGAAGACTTGCGGAATTTTTGAGATCTTCTAAAAATTCTGCCAATTGCATTTTCCTAATGCATGCCCAATCTTGTCTTGCTGACAAAGTATCTTTAAAATTTTTGAGAACCTCTCAAAAATTCTGCCCAATTTTAATTATAAAGAGAAATGGAAATTTTATGGGTGTATGACCGAGTCGTTGTGGCGCCTACATAGCCCATTGAGGCAAGAATCAAGTCAAACGTAGTTCCCCTTTTGAGAATAAAAGAAATAGGAAATTTTAATAAGAAAATGACCGAGGCCAACATATGCCGCTTACATATCTCATTTTGAGAATTCAGGTCAAACGTAGTTTAATACAAGGATATAAAAACTTGGTATAAGCAATTACAAGCAAATGAAACGACTACAAGGGAAGTGATGAGAGAGAAACTAATCTTCAGACGTAGTATCTCTTGACAGCATCTGAGTTGATTGCTTTTGGCCAGTCCTGGCCATCCATCTCTGATAGGCTCAAGGCACCTCCAGATAACACTTTACGAACTATGTACGGTCCTTGCCAATTTAGTACAAATTTCCCCTTATACTCATCTTGATGGGGGAATATGTGTTTGAGGACCAATTGTCCTTCTTTAAATGTTAGAGATCTCACTATTTTGTTGAAAGCATGAATCATTCTTTTTTGATATAATTGGCCATGATAAACAACGATCATCCTCTTTTCATCAATTCAAGCTAAATATTCAACCCGATTACGAACCCAATCAACATTGGTCAGTCCGGCTTCTTGAATGATTCTCAATGAAGGTATTTCAACTTCAACAGGTATCACTACTTCTATCCCATATACTAGCAAGTATGGAGTTGCTCCGATTGATGTTCTAATAGTTGTTCGGTATCCCAACAAAGCATATGGTAACATGTCATGACAACCTTTGTGATTATCAATAATCTTTCTCAAAATCTTTTTAATGTTCTTATTGGCAGCTTCTATGGCTCCATTCATTTTAGGATGATAAGTAGTTGAGTTTCAGTGAGTAATCTTGAATTTCTAACGTATATCTTCATCAAATGACTGTTGAGGTTTGCACCATTGTCTGTGATAATGGAATCAGGTATTCCAATCGACATATCAAGTTGTTAAGAACGAAATCAACTACTACCTTTTTCATCACAGATTTATAAGAATTTGCTTCCACCAACTTGGTGAACTAATCAATGGAAACCAAAATAAATCTATGTCCATTAGAGGCGGCTTGCTCAATTGGCCAATGACATCCATTCCCCATGCCACGAATGGCCAAGGTGATCCCATAGCGTTAAGTTCTTGAGGAGGTACTCGAATCAAATCACCATGTACTTGACATTTATGATACTTTTGCACAAATCTACAATAATCGTGCTCCATAGTATTAAAAAATAACCAGCTCGGAGGATCTTGTTTGCCAAGGAAGCCCATTCATATGAGGTCCATAACTCTAGCATGTACTTCCTCAAGAAGTCTTGTATCCTCCATGGAATCTACATACCTAAGGAGTCCTAAATCTGGAGTCCTTCTATAAAGGATTTCCCACACTTGGAAAGAAATTGTTCGCCAATCAACATAGTGCCTTCTTTTGATGGGATGTCGCATCTTCTTGATAAATTCAAGTCTCCGGGTACTTCTTTATATCATAATACCAAGTCTTTATGTCTGGTTATGCTTCGACATGCGAGCAATGAGCGGGTTGTTCCTTTAAATCTATCTCAAGGATTAATGTAATTCTGATCTGGATTCTTGATCATTGAGAAAATAGTGGCAAGAGCGTCGACAAATTCATTTTGCAACCTTGGATTGTGCATAAACTCTACTTTCAAAATCTTTTGCACAATCTTTGGATTTTTCAAGGCCCATTCCCCTTGAATCTAGTGAAATAACAAGTCTGAATCTCCAATTTCCAGCAACTTTTGGACATTCATTTCAATAGCTAACATTATGTCAAGATTGCAAGCCTCGTACTCTGCCATATTATTGGTGCAATGAAATCGAAGTTTATCCGCAACGAGGTAATGTTAACCAGATTTCGATATTAAAACCGCTCCAATTCCAGATCCATTATAATTTACTGCTCCATCAAAGAATACCCTCCATCCAGGGTATGACTCAGAACTATTTTTTCCTATGAACAACACATCTTCGTTGGGGAAATATGTTTTGAGCGGTTCATATTCTTCATCAACTAATCTTTTGCATATATGATCGGCCATTTTTTGTCCTTTTACCGCTTTTTGAGTAACATACACAATGTCAAACTTGCTCAGAAGCATCTACTGTTTTGCCTGTTTTTCAATTGACATAGCTTTTTGGAAAATATACTTCAATGGATCCATCATGGAGATAAAACATGTAGTATATGAAGACATATAATGCCTCTACTTTTGGGCTATTCTAGTGAAAGCACAACATGTTCTTTCCAATAGAGTGTACTGATCCTCATATGGAGTAAACCTCTTGCTAAGATAGTTTATCATACGTTCCTTCTTCCCAGTTTCATCATGTTGTCATAATACACACCCGAATGCATTCTCTAAGATGACAAGTATAGTAACAAGAGACTTCCTTCTTGTGGAGGTACTAATACTGGTGGATTTGTCAGATAATCTTTGATAGTATTAAAAGCTTTTTCACAATCTTTGTTCCATACCGTTAGTACATCTTTTTCAACAACTTAAAGATAGGCTCGCAAACCACTGTGGATTGATCTATGAATCGACTAATATAGTTTAATCTTCCAAGGAAACTCATAACTTCTTTCTTAGAGTTCGAAGAAAGTAGGATCAAGCCCAATGCCTCTTATACTAACTATGAGACCCAATAATTTACCAATTTATACTCCAAAAGTACATCTAATAGGATTCAATTCCAAGTTGTATTGACAATCCAATCAAAAAACTTTCTCAAATTGGTCAAGTGATCTGAACTCTCGTGGGACTTGATAATTATGTCATCCACATACACTTAAATCTCTTTGTAGATTATGTCATCAAAGATAGCTGTCATGACTCTCATGTATATGGATTTAGCATTCTTAAGACCGAATGACATTACCTGGTAATGATAAACACCCCAAGGTGTAATGAAAGTTGTTTCAACGTCTTTTCCATCCATCAAAATCTAATGATAACCTGCAAAACAATCCACAAATGATTAGATTTCATGCTTAGCAAAATTGTCAATGAGAATGTGGATATTCGGCAATATAAAATTTTCTTTGGGACTGCTTTATTGAGATCTTTATAATCAACAAATAATCTAATTACCATATTTCTTGGGCACTAGAACAATATTCTCTAACCAAGTTGGATAATTAGTAACCTTCACAAGTTTGGCTGAATTTGTTTGGTAACTTCTTTTTTGATTCTCAAACTCAATTCTGGCTTGAACTTTTGAGTTTTCTTCTTAATCGGACTGAAATATGGATTGATCGAAAACTTGTGAGAAACAATATCTATGCTCAATCCGGGCATATCATCATAGGACCAGGCAAATACGTCGATGTACTGCTTAAACAAACTGATGAGATCTTCTTTTTGAGTTATTGTGAGATGGACACTGATCCTGTTTTCTTTAAAAATTTCTTCCTCTCCCAGGTTCACGGTCTCATTCTCATCTTAGTTTGGCTTCTCTTGATTCTTAAATTGTTTCAATATATTCTGCGAGGTGTTCCGAAACCATGGTCTTTTCATCATATTCCTCGAATTCATTCTCATCTATCTCATTTTGCTTACTCAGCTTGTGACGTGACATGATATTGGCAGGTTTAAAGTTATTTTTACTGAAATCACAAACAAGTCATGTTAGATTGAAACAATTTAAAACAAATTTGCAAGTTATGAATAAATGATTTAAGCAATATGTGAGGCTTTCATTTAGATATAAAAAAGTACAAACTTTGACCATGACCATAGGCCAGTCTGGCTTTTAAAACACTTCACGAGGGAAATTAAAACTTAAAGAGATAAAAAAACGTAAATGGTGGCTCTCAAGCCTCTTTCACACCAACACCAATTTTTTAAATAAGCAAAATAAATATGTCTTTGTCTACCAAAACGAGCAAGGAACCATGAGCTGTGTGAACGTAAAATTGGGCACTCGTTCCTCTGGTTTGGCATCTCGAATGAAAGATGTCTCGATCATCTCCTCAAGTACATCATCAGATTCTTCAAAAAGATTCTCAATTCCCTCCCCGAGGCCATCATCATTGGCATATTCTCGCAGTGGAAAAGATTGGTACAAGTGAGGTACTGATTTTGCTAATTCCCAATAAATCGCCTTGTTACCAGAAGCTTCCATCTTATCATATGCTATTGTGATGTATCCAAGCCAAACTTTGAACCTTTTGTGAAAAATTTGGATAGGCTCAGTGATACCTTGCAATATTTTCCCAACCCAAAACAAGTTGCAAATCCATTTCTTAGCGTCAATATGGTTATCATCTTATAACCAGAAGGCATAAGAGGATGTAAAGCCAAATCATCACCGATAGCATTCACTATCTCTATTGTATAGAAGTTAGAACCTCTAGTCACATTTTCGACTATCCGGGCATAGTCATTCGAATGTCTTCTTTCACCATGATTGACTACTTCGTGATCGTCCCACACCAACTTCATCAACTAGTAGAGGGTAGAGGGCACGACCCCAACCATATGGATCCAAGGTCTTCCGAGTAAAGATTGTAGCTAATGGTGATGTCCATCACCTGGAACTCGATAGTGAAATATGTAGGTCTTACTTCAATACCCAATCTAACAGCGCCCAATGTTTCTCTTTGACCCCATTCGCAAGCTCTCACATTTACTTTAATTTGATGAATCTTTCCAAGATCAAAATTCAATTGCTTAAGAGTCGACAACTGACAAATACTAAGGCCAGATCCATCATCTATCAAAAAAAGATTCACAATCTTGTCCCGGCACTTTATTGTGATGCGCAAGGATTTGTTATGCATCACCCCTTCATGAGGCAACTCTTCATCACTAAAACTAACACAATGGCTTCCGATGACTCTGCCTCATTCAAAGCCTTTAACAAATCATTCCTATGTTGTTGTGAACTCATTAATAATGCCCACACATAAATTTGAGTGGTTGTCTTCTCCAGATGTTTCATGATGGAATACTCTTTAGGTTGCATTCTTCGCCAAAACTCATCGGCTTCAGCTTCACTGATTGGCCTTTTCTAGTGGCCTTTCTTGTTTCCTCCTTGAGCCAATTCCTCTAGTGTGTAATATCTACCAAATATAGTCATACCATGGGCGGTAGTAGTCTCAATCACAAACTCTTATAAGGCCTTTCTTTGGCACTGAAGTAAAAACTTGTAAGGGGGCCATGATCACAAATTCTTTCTCAGTAAGGCCCTTGTTTGGTCTCAAAACAAAAGCTTGATGAGGTTTTATTATCACAAACTCGGGCTTCTTGCTTATGCTTAGTGAGGCTACATCCTTCTCAAGATTGTAAAGATTTGATGGGACAATTGTCTTGCTGCACCCCAATCCTCTTCTATTTCAATCATATTAATAGTATCTCCCCCATGATTTAGTAGAGGATTACTATGTACATTAGGAGAGGCATTCTAAAGGGTGACCACCTTGTGATCAATTAAGTCTTGAATCTTACGCTTCAGGTTGATGCGATCTTCGGTGGTATGTTCTGCACTATTAGAGTGTTACTCACATATCTGATCAGCTCTAAAGAATTTAGACTTTGTTTTGATAGGTTTAGGTTCAATGGGATGAAACATGCCTACAAATTTCAATCTTTCGAACAACGTAGTCCAAATTTTAATGAAGGAGTGAAAATTTTGGGAGGTTTCCTTTCAAAATTTGGACGAGAAAGTTCATAGTTATTTTGTGGAGGTAGAGGTACCTGACGGTAATTTATAGGATTTCCGCAGGGAGGTGTTGGTGTTTAGAATTTGGTAATTTGATTGTGGAGTTTGTTAGTTTGGAGGGGTATTTTGGTAATGTGGAGCTGGGAGACTAGAAGATTGGGTAGGGATTCTGTGGAGCTGGGGGATAGACTTTGGAGGGTGAAGATGTTCTAGAGCTAAACCCGATTGATCTTTTTGTCCTTCCATTAGACGCATGAGAAATAAAGGAAACACCCTCTCTTTTCTTCCTCAATAGTCCCGAAGATCCGGCTTAGGATGCCAAACAAGCAATCTTTCCGGTCTTAAGACCATCTTTGATGGTCTTACCTACTTTGACCATCTCACCAAATTTTATTCCAACGAGCAACATCATTCTATCATCGTATTTTGGCTCTTGGATGCACACAAATACTTCAATGATCTCCTTTTCATACATGGGAGGTTAAACTCTTGCAGCCTCTTTTCTTCACCTTTATGCATATTCATGATATATTTCGGTAGATTTTTTCCTAATATTTTCCAAAGAGTATCGATCTGGAACAATTTCTACATTATAAGCAAATCTTTCAATAAAATTTTTAGTTAAAGCATTCCAACTAGACCATTGATTCATGTCTTGGGTGGTGAACCATTCCAAGGCCTCTCCATTCAAACTTCGGCTAAAAAGCTGCATCAACAATGCTTACTTTTCACAACTCCTACGAGCTGGACACAATACGCCCTTAAGTGAATTAAGGGGTTCCCAATTCCTCTAAAAGTGTCAAACTTTGGTACCTTAAACCCTCAGGAAAGTCCAAGTTTGGGTGTGATATACAAGTATTCGTAGTTCAATCCCATAACATCTGGAGTGTAATGAAGTTCTTTCATATCTTTAATAATTTTTTTCTTCGTGCTCTGCTTAGTCATCTCCTCTTTGACCCTCCACTCCTTTTTCTTATCATCATAATGATTGACTTGGGGATAAGTAGTTTATGGAAGTTGTGGTTATGTAAGGATTAGAATATGGAAAGTGGCTTTTGGAGGTAGGGGTTGAGTAGTAGGTGGGTTTGAAGTGTTTGGAGAAGTTTGGTACATGAAGGGAAGCTTGAGAGTAGTTAAAATTTAGGTTTTGAGAAGGATGAGGAATTTGGTATGAAGAGCTAGTATGATATTGGTCAGTTGTGTTTAATTCGACGATGGGAGGCTTTTGGACTGGAACAGTAGGTTGATTGTGTGGGAAATGTTCGGGTGTTGGATTATAAGAATGGAAATGGAAAGGATTTCTTTCATTTTTTTTGGAGGAGTGTTAGAAATGATGGCCAAATTTGCCAATTCCCGAGTCTTATGCATCTCGACCCTCATTTCAGCAATTTGTTGTGCCAGTTGAGCAATCAACTCATTCTACTCAGCAATGATAGGGTCTATTAATATGATCTCATTTAAACCAATGTCCTCACCATTTCCACTCATCTTTTCTTTTCCTTTCAATAGATTTTGGCTCAGGAAGGAATCTTTATGGACTTTAGATCTTGTGAAGTACAGATGCTCAATCAGTTTCTCAACATAAATTAGTTCTAGTTACTTGATTAATGAAAAACAATTGAAAGGTCGATATGTTAGTTATTATTTATAATGAGAAATGCAAATAAGGTGATACAAGAATAAACATATAAGTGTCATTTTGCTTTAAGCAGATTAATCCACGAATGTATTTTGGGTGAAAGGGAGGACTCAAACGGGAAGTTTTTTTGGTTAGTTCACTTGAATGAATCAGGAAAGTGAACTTGTATAGAGTCTTGTTAACTTCTTCCACTCATAGCTTTAGCAAGTGAAATCTTCAAAATCTTTCATTAACAAGAGAGGATAAAAAAATTAAAAGATCGGGGCCTAGCCATAAATAGGCTATCTACGTATCCCTTCAGGGAATTCAGACGTGATGTAGTTTAACATCTAGCAACTCAACATTCATTAGATGGACAAATGGAAATTTCGAAGATATTCAGAATAAAGGAGATTTATATATTTTTAGAGAAACATGGGCAACACATCAGAAGTAATTTGGACGGACTTTGTTGCTGTGGATTTAGTATATGCATAGGGTGTTTTAAGAAACAAGAGTGGATTAATTCTACCTTAGACAAAATGACACATCACAAAGCAATTATATCAAGCAGCACACAAACAATTTATATCGCGCCCTATATTTTTGACTTTTTATACAAGAGGTAGGCCTAAATGTCAACATAACGCTATTATTATAGATTGATCCAAGCCATTAATTTGTGAAAACTTGAGTTTGGAAAACAACGACCCAAGTTTCATTAAATACTAACAAAATAGTACAACAAAAGAGAGGATAAAAAAACTAAGGTTTTGCCTAAATGTTGTTATCAATCACGTTGGTGGAAGAAGTGAAGATGACTCTCCCACGTTATTAGGCCCTGCTTCCATAATTTCCAAATATTGCATTATTTTTTCCATTTGAGTGCATATTTTAGGAGTGACCACTTTGGTTCCACGATGAGAATGAGTTATCTAGATCATCATCCCAATATCCTCAAAACCCTGTTCACCTTCTGGACTCATGCTATAAAATTGCAATAAAATTGGCTAGAATTGAAAGAAAGGATGGTTATAACTTAAATAAAATTGAAATTGGACTAATCCATTAGCAGGCAAGAAATTCCTACTAACCAGACAGAAAGTAAGTTCCACTCACTACCAAAGCGCTGTCGCACCTCTACTATTTTTGGCGTAACGAGGTTTTAGAGTCAAGTCGTATAACGAGCGAAACCCTCGTTTTGTGTTGCTGAGACATGCGCCTAAGGAGAAAGTCTTTGCAACCGAAGTGAGCCGAGGAGCCGAGTGACGTGCCAGCGCTACTAATTGAGTGCCAGCACCTAGCTGTGCTGTCAGTAAGAAGGTAGCCGGCCCCTTTCGAAGCACTTTCTATTTATTGAAATAAATTGGAACAAAAATGGGTTAAAACTTAAATGATTTAAGAGATATTTAAAGAAATGCTATCCAATTAAATACTATAAATATAATAATATATTTTATATAATCAAAATTACTTAAAATTTTGGAACATTTGAATAAAATAATTACTTTGAAATTTATTAAGAATTTTTAAAATATTTTAATAATATTTACAATAATTTTATAAAGTAAACATAGTAAAATATATATAATTTTTACAAAATCGACTAAATTCTAAACTTAAATTAGATTTTAAAATACGTATTTTAATCAAATAGCATTTCTAAAAAGTTAAAGGTCGGTCAAAATTTGGTGTCAACAGCTTCCCCTTGGTTGTTGAGTAATGAAGAATGAATTGTCGGGCAACCAATGTTTACTTAGTAGCCGATTTTGTCCCACCGATGAGAGATGTCAGTGGGATCAATTGAAGCGATATAGAGTTTAAAAAGGGTACGATCGTGATTTTGGTATTAAGTCGCCTACATATCTTTGATTAAACGAGAATCAAGTCGTGTTTAGTTCTAGATTCAAGAGCAAACACAACTCTTGAAAATTGAAAGGGCGGCGAGATATTCGACATGGCACGATATCGACTTGAATGGATAGGATTAGAGTAGCGAGAAGAGAAAGATAGAGAAAAGGGAAAAGCATGAGAGAGAAGCCAGAAGAGAGATCGATCACACCTGCAAATTCTAAAATTACTAAAGCCTAGACGTTGTTTTAAGGCGGACGATCTAAATGTCCTATTATAAGGCACACAAGTCTAAATGTTGCTTTGTGAAGCAGACGAGCCTAAATATCCTATTGTAAAGCGAAAGGTCCTAAATGTCATAAGGTAGACGAGTCTGGTGTCCTATTATAAGGCGGATGAACCTAAATGTTGCATTGTAAGGCGGACGAGCATGATGTCCTATTATAAGGCGGACAAACCTGGTGTCCTATTATAAGGAGGACAAAGCCAATGTAGTATTGTAATGCCGACGAGCCTGACTGGCTAATCCATAAGTCAGAATAGTGAATTGAATCCAATAGTTTAAATAGCAGCCTTAGTAGACAAACGATAATGCGAGTAGGAACTTTGTTGCAATAGCTATGTAAGCACGAAAATGGTAGTTCAGAGGGCAATTGATCTTGTCTGCAGTGTGCACATTCGTAACTTGTAATCTGACTAAATAAAGTTATAAGAGCATATACGGTTACTGATAAATGAAAAATGTAAACATGATGCAATTTCCCATATCGACCATGAATGTTTGCCGTAAGACTATGAAAATGATGTATTAGGCTATGATGTCTAGGGCCATGATACACAAAATTAATTTTTGAGGCCATAAAAATGTTGTCTGCAGGCCATGAAAATGATGTCTTTAGACTATGATACGTTTGGATCATTATAGACAGAAATTAAATCCTTAGGCCATGATATGATGTCTGCAGGCCATGAAAGATGATGTCTTTAGAGTATGACGTCGTAAGAATAAATAATGAGTGAAGAATCTATAATTCAGGCATCTGTTGATACTTGTAACTTGATGCAAATTTCGAGCGTAATGCAATTCTCAGGCACAATGCATTCTCGGACAAAATGCAATTTGGGCACATCCAATATGGGGCACAATGCAGTTCTCAGGCACATGCAATATCGAACATAATGCAATCTTGGACACATGCACATACAGTATCAAACACAATGCAATCTCGGGCACATGCAATAGTTAATTGAGGGCATAAAGTAGCTTGAACATTCACCTTGTTGGAAGGGTTGAACGTTCTCTGTCGGGCTCAATAGTGGTATGTTATCCGTCAAGCGAGGTTGAAGTTGCCTTTGTATATGTACATGTATTTCTGCATTCAAAAAAAATAGTTAGTTTAAGGGAGGAGGTTGATATGTATCCATGATTTGAAACAATATACTCCTTTGACATCCCCTCGAATGTCCTTTGAAGTGTCTTCAAAATTTTGAGGTTCCCCCTCAAAATTTCTGCATCAATGTAGAACTTCTACAATTCTGATTTGCAGATTGTAACCTAATTACAATAAATTTTTGAGATCTTCTCAAAAATTTTGTCCCAGTCTTGATTTGTGAGAAGATAAGCTTTTCAAGAAATTTTTGAGTCCCTCTAAAAAGTTGTGCCCCTATCTCGATTTTTGCAGAAGACGCTTATTGAGACAACTTTTTGAGACTGTCTCAAAAACTTTGTCCAGTTATTGATTTGTGAGAAGAGATGCTTTTGATAGAATATTTGAGTTCCTCTAAAAATTCTGCCCTAGTATCGAGATTTGCAAAGAGAATGCTTTTTAATGAAATATTTGAGACACTCTAAAATATTCTGCCCCATTTACACAATAAAAGGAAAATAATTTTTTTATTATGGTAAGACCGAACCCCATAAGAGTGTCTATGTATCCCCTCTTAAACGGGAACCAGCTCTTACGTAGTTCCAAATTACAAAGAGCAAAAGCAAAAAAAAACCTTCTTGAGCTTCAATTGAGTAATAGATCCTGCCCAACTTATTGACCATATGTCATCATGGGTGTCTGAACGTAGGAAAATTGAACTTAAATGACACAAGCCTTATTTGGAAACAGGTTCAAATAGACTTCAGCACGTTCACAGTTGGAACTTATTTGTTGTAAAGTCCTCCAAGCGTATGACCTTGGTATCAATCAATTGTTGAATCTTGTCTTTAATATCACAACATTCTTTTATGGTATATCCTTCTATTCCTGAAATGATAAGCACAAACCTTAGAGGGTTCAATCCACCATGCACGTGTATTCATCCTTATTGTATTGATAGGAGCGATGTGTCCGACCATCACCAATTATTCGTAGAGTTGGCCTATAGGCTCAGTCGGGGGAGTATATATTTTGTTGGACTTCTTCTCAGCCTTGAAGAGATTTTTGCGAATATGTGGTCGGGTGATGACTTTGACATCATGAGCAGGATATGCTGGTGGTTGATAATGACGGAGGAAACCTTTGGTACGGAGACATTTGATATGGAAGGATTGGAATGGTATGAGAGGCACATGATGCCAAGGAACTTGGTGTAAAGGTTTTTCATATTGAAGATCTTGTATAGTAGGATTCTGTGGGTGTGGAGTAAGATGTTGAGATCCAGGAGCATGATGATGGGGAGGATATTGTTTATTTGGAAAGTGGGTGTTCTTTGGAGGCATTTGAATGTAACTTGGTTGATTTTGAGAATGGGGTAACTTGGAGAAGGATGAGAAGTCGGGTGAATTGGAGGGCTATTTTAGAGAGTGGCTTGACTTGCGAAGGTGACATATCTGTGTTTATCTCCAAAGTAGGATTGGCGGAGAGTAACAACTTGTCCCACTCACACATATCCAACACCTCTTCTTCTAATTTTTTTATTTTCTGCTCAAGGCTTGATACCAACTCGTCTGAAAGACACTTCTTTTCAATAATTTGCACATAACCTTTTCACTAGTCACTTTCCTCTTTTCTTTGCGATTCTCAGTCGGAAGAGAAGGAAGAGAGTCTTTTGATCGTGTGTGGTAAACCATGGTCTACACATCAACCATTGAAGAAGGGTAAACAAAAAATTAAAGCAAACCAAAACCCAAGTTACAACATTGTATAAATTTATATATCAAGCACATTATTTTAAGATAAATGACCTAATTGCAAAGGAGCCTTGTTGAGCCGGAGGTAGGCCTAAGCGACACGTAAGTTATGCACAACAATTACTTCAAGAATTATTTGCCAATTGAAGTTTAGATTAGAAGAAAAACAACTTTCATTTATTATTAAGTTTACATCATAATTGAAAAATAAAAATTGAAATAAACTAAGGGAAGAGGGATAACATGGGTAAAATCATCCAAAATTCTGAAATCCTGAAGATTCTGATTCCAAGAGCTCGGAGCCAATTGACTTTTTGTATAGGGAGCGATTTCTTGTCTTATGTTCAACACATTGCGTGCCCATATGTTTTTCCTTTCATTAGTGAGACTGTGGTATCCTTCCCCACTCAATTATGGGTCTTTCGACTATATTAGGATCCATATGTAATACTCACGTGCGCATAAAGCATGTCGTGCACCCATAGGAATGGTCAACACTCGTTCCCATCGTTGAAGTATGTTGTTGTCTTACGGTTTATCTAGTCTAAACTCATACTTAAATTGCTCCATGTCAGATCGGAGTGGTATAATTAGAGTTCGCCCGAATTGGCGAAGCACTCAAAGAGGCACATATGGTTAAACACCCTTTAAGCCAATAAACTCAATAAAATATTGCTCGTCCCTTCTTACTTTGGCATTAGGCATGGAAAATCAATAGAACTTCAATTAGATTTAGTGGCTCTCAAGTATCTGCAAGTCTACAAATCCTATAGGTGAGGTGAAATTTACCATTATTCTTGAATGGTTATCAATCTTTTTGCCTTGACCAATAAAGATGTCTACCGCATCAGATCCCCTATGGAAATGTTCGATAGCCCATAATTGCAATAGAAGGTTGCACCCCTCGAAAAATATTCTACCGTTGACACATGTTGACAAGCTCCTCATTATTTCTAATAGGATCATGTGCACTATGATTTTCATAGGATCGCCCCCTCTTTGAGCTAAGTCTCGAACCACGTACCTTAAACATGTGTCGATTTTTCCCTTATTTTAGGAAAAACCAAGGATCCTAATAGGGCAATGACAAAGGCATCAAAGCAATATTTTTCCCATTCTTCAATGGAGCTCTCAAATTCATCGCTAAAAGTGTAGTAGCTATCATCTTGGCCAAATTGTGAGTATAGAAAGTCTTAATGAGTCCACCCAAGGTCTAAAGAAACTAAGGTTGGATTAGAATTCATCCCTAGACTTCCTAGAAATTTCCTTGATGATGTCTTATATGGTACCATCATTTCACACTCATGGTATGGCAAATCGATGAAACCACTAATCTTTTCAATTGTTGGTGTCAAGTCACAATCTGCAAATTTAAAAATCATCCTTACAGGGTCCCAAAATTTTAGAAAGACCCTAGTCAGATGAGGGTTCGGTATGACGAAGATAAGAAAGGTGATACCACCCAACAACTAATGAATCTACCTTTCTCGGTCTCTCTTTATATCCATCCACCATATCCTAAGTTTGTAATTCACCTCTGTGACCATTTGAGGGTTAAAGGAGTTGACATCATCCATGACTCTATAAACAAAATAAGAAACAACTTCTAAACTCCATTTTGACAAAGTTGACTTGATTTAATTATTATGACTACATTGACACATAAGTATGCGATTTGTCTAAAGAGTGTTGGTGCTCTTTAAAAGATTGGGTGGATACTAATTATGTGGATTAACACCAAGGGTCAAACCACCTAGGTCTTATGCAACATGGATGACCTAATCACGATTTCTAAGAATTGGCTTGACGCAGACATGAAAGAGATTCTATGCGAGAAGGCACATGGTTCCACAGTAGTAAACGATCTGCATAAGTCATGCCTCAACCATCTCTCTAATAACAGTGTTCTATGCAATTTATGTGGGAGTTACAAGTAGCAAATAAGGTCACTTCATTTATTATTTATTTAATTAACATGCTTACTAGGTGATAACCGACATTACGTAACTAAGATCACATTATTATTTTAATCAATTATCTAATCATGTGAAACTAGATGACAACGTAATATTAAACAACTAAGGCTATTTTTATTATTTTTAATTTAATTAATTAAACATGTGATGCTATGTGATAATATGAACTAAATAATTAAGATCACATTATTATGTTAATTAATCATTTAAGCATGCGAGATTAAGTGACAAAAATATTAAACAATTAGAGTACTACTAGTAGGGTTTTAAAATATTTGGACAACATTTTACACGTAAATTTTCAAGTTCGTCTCTACAATTTATTAGACATGCTATAACACACATATTTGTGCAAAGGATTTAATGCTAGTGTGTGAACATACAACTATACAAAATTATAAGAGAAAATTTAATTATAAGAGGGCAAAAATTATGACATGGACATAGATTTTATTAATGAAGCATGCTGAAGATATTTATTTATTAGCTGATTAGAAGTAACAAGACAATTATAAATAATGCTAAAATTAATATTCAAGCAAACTTTATTAGGATAGCAAAAAAAAAAGGCGGGAGAGATTATACAGAAAATGACATGTTAATGCAATAGTAGATTAGACTATATGTAGAGTTTATTTTAAAGTAGCAAGCAGGAAAAAAAAATTATTTTAGAGCATATTTATTATTAATGCGGAGAATTATTTTTTAGTACAATAACAAATTTATGATTAATGCAGAAAATTATTTTTTAGAATAATTTTAACAAATTGATTATGAAAGCTGAAAAAATATTTTTTAGTAGAAAAGAATTACAATGCAGAAATTTAAATTAGAAAGCAGATTATTATTAATGCAAAAATATTTTTTGACCGTCAATTTTATTAGATGCAGAAATTCATATATTATGAAGTAGATTTTACCAGGAGCAGATCTTAAAACAGTTCCAATTTAAATCAAGAGGTATTACTATGCTGATTTTTCTCTTAAATATGCATAAGATAGTCACATTAGTTAATTTTATTTATCTATAACGAGTTTGGAAATTATTAGAAAGTCTATGAACATGAATTCTAAACCAGTTGCAAACTATATCCATTTGAAATTTTATACGCATGAGTACTATAGCATAACAAGATGATTAAAATAATGAATTACTAAAGATCACAGTAGTTAACATATCTAACTTAGTTATTGAATCGGCATGATTTCTATTCAAAGAACAGCAACATCATTATTTATTATTATTAAAGTTTAAAAGGCGATCATATAAATCAAATAAGAAAATTGAATGATAGTTAAAATATTTAGACTATAATTGAACAAGCTTAAACAGTTATTAATTATTTTGGATTGAAAACTTAGGTGATTAGATTCAGAAGCACACTGTTTGTTTTAGATAACGAATGTTCAATATAATTAATTAGTTTAGCACATCCGCGCACACAAAATAAAAAGGAAAGCGAAAATGGTTAGTACATGTATCCCCAGACGGTTCTCCAAATTTATTTCATATAGATAGAGAGAGTTAGAGTTATAGGATACAAAACCGACATAATAGGTGACCACATATGCAATAAAAATTAACTATTAAACAAAGATAATTTCATCCAAAATCCTATCCTTACGTGACTCTTCAATGCCTTGAACTTTAAGTTCAAATCTGTTTAACCAAAATAATGAAGACAGGTTCATAACTACATAGACGGAAACATAGAATTATTCACAAACAACACACAAGTTTCAACATATAAGATCACACATCGAGAAAAAAGATATAAATACTAAATTCGATGCTTCCTATATCACCATAAATTCATATAAACATGAATGCATGATTAATATAAATTCTAAATAAGAACACTAACCAGTTAAGCTATAAAGATTAATGGAGACAACGTAATTCAACTTTTGATCCGAACACATTAAAAATAGCAGAGAAAACACTTGAAAATTTACTAAAATCTTAATTATTTTAAGAGTAGAGAGCAATATATTATTAGTATTCAAGTATAAGCAATGAGAAAATATGATGGTGAATGAATGAGAGAAAGTGAGGGGTCTTGTATATACAGTCAAGAGACCTTCGCCATAAAAGGAATAGAATAACTAAGCAAATCATGAAAATTGTATTTCCTTAAAAAGGAATATTAAACAAGTCACAATTACCAAAAATAAAGAAGTAAGAATCTGCATAGCATAATTAAAGCAGGAAGATATTCTTTTCAACAAATCAAATAAAATATATTCCATCAAAATCACCCAAGAATCCGTCCAACTATAACTAAGGGACATCATTAGTTTACAGCACTAACTTCTTAAATAAAGAGAGTAAAAATCAACACAACAATATTTATTTTTACCAAATATGAGCAGATAAGAAAATACTCAAACTTCCAAATAAGGTAATCAATTAGCTAATTAGTCAGTTTCCTCTTTTCGCCAAAATCGATTAATAAAGAATATCATCAAAAATTACTATAAATCAATAAATCATACCACTAAAAATAACACAAACAACCAACAAGACGAGAAAACTATTCCAACTTTTCGCAATGGAACCACTGTACTTACTGTATGTATCCAAGCATTGGGCAATGAAGAAGGAAGACATATTAGACGAAACTCATTCAATCAAGACGATATCAATATGAAAATTTTCCTTTTAGAACCTATAGAATAACAAACACAATATAATATAATAATAACAATAATAAAGGATTAGTTGCAATAAGTCATGAGGAGTGACAAAATTTTTGATATACCAACCAAGATATGCTATCGATTTTATTTAAAAATCGATCATACCTATAAAATTGAATAAAGAAAGAATACTAAATTCCTAAGAGTAAGCAGCCCACACACAGATTAGAGCCTTGAAATGTCAAGAATGCATACATAAACGACTTAACTTGCACATTATCTAGTTTTACCAGTGGCATATATGGAGATTTAATGTTCAAAAAGTCAAAAGCCAAAAGAAATGTGTACCTGGATGGTTCTATTATAGATTCGTCTTTCGTTCTTGCCGGAGTGCATTGTCCATCCTCGCCAGAAAGAAGAGGCCGCTGCTTTGAATTCTGTCTGCCGACTGTTCTCGTTGGAGAAGAGAAGGACGAGCGGCGTTCACTGCGTCGTGGAGGCTCGCCTGGTTACTTGTTGTTTGCGCTGTTAGTCGGAGCAGTTGCTGCTGCCGTTTGCTTCACCTGAAAAGGAAAACAAAAAAGAGGGAGGGAGAAGCATAGGCGTACATCGCCTGCCGGCCTCGCCCGGTGGCTGTTTCACTGAGAAAAAAAAAGGAGAGGACGAGGGGAAAGGGAAGGAGAGAAAGAAGAAGAGGCGAGGGGTGATAGAGAGGAGAGATAGCGCCACCTCCAATCTCGAAATGGAGACGAAGCAGGGGCGGCGATGTTCGAACCTGGGCGCCCGGGGGGGGGGGGGGGGGGGGGGAAACGGCCTCTTGCTAAAAAGAAAAGGGGGAGGAAAAATGAAATTTTAGGGGTTTGGCCTTTTAAATTTGAAAAAGGAAGGGATAATGGACAAATACCCCTTAACTTTTGCCCGAAATTCCAAAAAACCCCTTTTGCTATAATAAGGGCCTATTACCCCTGAATTATTTTAAAAAAAATTTTCTATCCCTTTTTAGCCCACGGGGGACTAGTTTAAAAAAAAAGTCAACCCTCGTTGAACCCCCAAAAAAGGGCCCCGTAGGTCAAAAAGGGGGAAAAAATTTTTAAAAAAAAAAGTTCCGGGGGGGGAAAAAAACCTTAAGGGGGTCTCTGAAATTTTGGAAATAGGGGGAGGGGGGACTTGGGCTTTTCCCAAAAAAAAAAAAATGGGTGGGTTAATTTAAACCCTTTGAATCAATTAAAAAGGGGGATAAAATTGGACTTAAATTTAATGAATTAAAGGGGTATTTGAAATTAAAAAATGGAGCCTTAAAAAAAAATTGGATTGG